GCACGAGCACAAAAAGGAAGAGCGCAAGGAAAAACACAGAGAAGAGATAGCGGAAGCCAAGCACAAAATAGAAGAACTCAAGGAGAAGGTCGAGTGTAAAGAGGAAGAGGTGAAAGAGAAGATCAAAGAACTCAAGGAAAAGATCGAATGTGAAGTAGAAGAGGTTAAAGAGAAGATTAAGGAGAAAGAAATCGAGCTCGAGTACAAAAAGGAAGAACACGAGGAGAAACTGAAGGAGGAAATAGAGGACGTCAAACACAAAATAGAAGAAATCAAAGAGAATATCGAGTGTAAGGTGGAAGAAATCGAAGAGAAGATCAAAGAGAAGATAGAAGAGGTCAAGGAAAACATAGAAGAGAAAATTGAGGAGCACAAGGAGAAAAAAGAACTGAAGAACGAAAAGAAAGAACTGGAGAAAGAAATGAAAGAACTCGAGAAGATCAAGAAACATGAAGAAGAGAGATGTGAAGTTGTCACCCTGCCGGAGCCAAGTTATGAACAAGAAGAGAAAATTGTATTCGTTGAGAAGATCGAGGTGAAGGCTGAAGAAGACTGTGTTGCCGCTCCACCACCACCACCTCCGGTGGCGGCACACAGCGATTATACCGCCACAGTCGAAGTTGAACACAAGGAGAAGAAGGGTATCTTCGAAAAGATCAAGCAAAAGCTTCATGGGAATCATCATTCAAAGAGTGAAGAGAAGAAGGAAAAGGAGCATTACTAGTTAAAGACGGAAAACCACAATGATACTTTGAGTTTGTTTGTCGGGTTTGATGGTGTTTATCGGTTTGGTGATTTTGCATTTCGATTCAAGTACACATTCATATGTTCATAGGTAGGAGCTTTGTTTGGATTTCTAAAGTGTTGTTGCTCATGATTTATGTCTGAGTCCATAAATTTGTATTCTTTAATAGCTTGTGTAGAGAGTATTTTGGTTTTGTATACTCTGAAATTTGATCGAATAAACTTTTCTTCCTGTTATATTATCTGACTCATTTGGCAGTATTAAAAACTCAGTAATATTCTCATCAGTTGTAGTTAATTATTATTAAACACTGTAAAAATTGTAATCAGCAACTGATTTACGATAAAGACGACATAATAATAATGCTACATAATCTTTAATTATGGGATGAAATTCAAAATGATTCCACTTGAAATTTTAAATGTTAGATGATAATAATTGAATGATTCTATGGCCATTCTTGTCCATTGAATCAGATGGGTATGCAACTGTAAAGTGAGATTTGCAGGTTCATATATTATTGATTTATTGCCCACTAACCCTTTAATTTAAAGATTTAAATTAAATTAAACTAATTAATTAATTAATTAATGTATTTAATGATGAAACTCCTCCAACTTTCCCTTTGATGATCATTACTTTTTCATTTTAATATTGTATTGGTTTTTCTACCCAATTTCTTCCTTGCTACATCCCTCTCTCCTAACAATTACTTTATATATATATATATATATATATATATATATATATATATATAGGGGTCTATTCAAGGAAGAACTGAGTTGTTTGTAGTAACTATGAGAACCAATATTAACCATAAATCAACCACAAATCAATAGATAAATTATGAAATTTATAAATTTGGTAATTTTAAATTAAAATCTTAATGCAAGGATATTTTTGGTATTTTAAAACTCTCCTCTCTCCTCTCTCCGGCCACCGTTCTCCGGGCTCCGGCCACCGTCCTCCGGTGATACCACTATGATACCACTGTGATACCTAAAAATACTGACTCTGTTAAACAAAAGATACATTGTGATACCAAATCATATATAAGATGTATAGTGATACCACAGTGTTACATCTTCGATCGACCACACAAACGACATCAATGTGATACTCAAGCACATATATGATGCATTGTGATACCATTGTAGAATCACCGGAGGACGGTGGCCGGAGAGAGAAGAGAGGAGGGAGGAAAGTTGTAAAATACCAAAAATATCTTTGCATTAAAATTTTAATTCAAAATTGCCAAAATTATAAATTTCCTAATTTATCTATTGATTTGTGGTTAATATTGGTTCTCACAATTACCACAAACTAATTAGTTCTCATTTGATTAGGCCTATATATATATATATATATACTTTATATATATATATATACTTGGGATCACATAAGACCAGCTTGTTTTCGTGAGACTACCTTTTTACACTTGAAACTTTACAGCAAAACGCTGTAAAAGTAACATTCACTGAGTTTTTACTGTGAAGGTTCGACTTTTATTTACCTTCACAGCGTTTTATATATTCCATCTCTCCTAACAATTCCTTTTCTATTCTACTTTATATATATATATATATATATATATATATTCTTGGTTCAGTAAAGTTTCTCTAGAATAATTGCATGTATAATCTATATATATATATTAGGAGCGTACTTGCACAATGCAACAAAATACATTTCGATTTTAATGTTTTATTTTTTTTTGTCTCAGTCGATGTTATAATACGGTTTATGTAGTTTTGAGAAAACGATAATGTTTTTATTTTTAAATGAAATATAAATAATGAAGATTATCACAATAAATTAAAAAAAATATTAATATTAGTACCAAATTAACTATTTAATATTTCTTTTTTTTTTGTATTTCTTTAATTCATTTTTTATTTAATAATATAATTTTTATAAGATAATAATCAAGTATTTGTTAGAAGTCAACGATTATCCTAATTATATTTTAGATTTTTTATATTTAAAACACTACAACAAAATCGGGTTTATAGGACACTCCCAAATTCTAAGCGTCCTAATAGACATCTTTATATGACTTAGTTTATAGAACCCAAAAAATAAAGTGTCCTATCTAAAGGTGTTGTAATAAGTTTATATGACGTTTTTTGACGTCGTAATAAGTTTTTTAGAACACTTTTAATATAAAGCGTCCCATTATCAACTTTATAGGACACTATTTGAAAAATTATCCTATAAAAACAAATGTCCTATAAAAAAATGAGTTTATAGAACACTTTCTGAAAAATGTCTTATAAAGTTGCTAATACGACATTTTGTATTTAAAATGTCCTAAAAAACTTGTTAAGACGCCCAAAAACGTCATATAAACTTATTACAACACCTTTAGATAGGACGTTTTATATTTTAGTCATATAAATTAAGTCCTATAAAACGGTCTATTGGGACGCTTAGAGATTGAGAGTGTCCTATAAACCCAATTTTATTGTAGTGAAATTAGATATTTATCCGTTATTTGATAATGTTTATCTGCAGTTAGTTACACGAATTCAAACATGAAGCTTTATTATGTTGTACTTATGCACACTTTACTTGTAATCTTGAATTTTAAGTAATATGCATCAATAAATAATACTTCATGCATTAAAAATGGTTTTTAAGAGTTTTTGTCAAATGCTTTATAATATAGTATAGATATATAGACTTGGGATCACGTGAGACCAACGTGTTTTCGTGAGACATGTGAAATTACTTTTTTATACTTGAAACTTCAAGGTAACATTCACAGTGTTTTTGCTGTGAAGGTTCGGCTTTTTTTTATCTTCACCGTGTTTGACTATGAAGTTTCAAAGTGTAAATAAATGGTTTCACGAGTCTTACAAAAAATTGGTCTCATGTGAATCCTATATATATATATATATATATATATATATAAAGAGATAGATTGACTGATGCTTTTGAAATATATAACCATGGTTGAAATTAAAATCATCAAATAATAAAAAATATAGTTATAAAATTCATGGTTGAAATGAAAACCAAACAAATGGTAAAAAAAATATAATGATGAAATTTTTATATACGTAAAAGAAAGATTTTGAGGTATTTATCTATATCTATACTATTTTTGGCTAAAACTTTTAAAAACTCTTAACACTCTTAAACTTGTTCATCCCTAAACGATTTCATCCCTATCGATTTCATCTCATATCTGAATTCGTGTAACTAATTGCAGATAAACACAATCAAATACAGGATAAACATTTCATTTTAAATATAATCTATACTATCTTATAAAACATTTGACTAAAACTCTTAAAAACTCTTAAACCCATTCATCCCTATCCGATTTCATTCCTATCCGATTTCATCCCATATCTGAATTCGTGTAACTAACTGCAGATAAACACAATCAAATACAAGATAAACATCTCATTTTAAATATAATCTATACTATCTTATAAAGCATTTGGCTAAAACTCTTAAAAACTCTTACACTCATTCATCCCTATCCGATTTCATCCCATGTCTGAATTCGTGTAACTAACTGCAGATAAACACAATCAAATACAGGATAAACATCTCATTTTAAATATAAAAAATCTAAAATATAATTAGTATAATCAATAAATTCTAATAGAATACTTAATTATTATCTTTATAAAATTTATAACATTAAACCAAAAATAAATTGTTTTATTATTAAATTTAAATTAAATTATATAAAAAAATATATTATATATTATAAATCATTTGACAAAAACTCTTAAAAACCACTTTTTATGCGTAAAATACTGTTTATTAATGCATATTACTTAAAACTCAAGATTACAAGTAAATTGTGCGTAGGTACAACTTATTAAAGCTCCATATATGAATTCGTGTAACTAACTGCAGATAAACACAATCAAATACAGGATAAACATCTCATTTTAAATATAAAAAATCTAAAATATAATTAAGATAATCATTTAGTTCTAACAAAATACTTAATTATTATCTTATAAAATGTTATATTATTAAACCAAAAATAAATTAATTCATTATTAAACTTAAATTAAATTATAATAAAAAATTAAAGAAAT